TGGGAAGTGCCCGGGACAGAAGCGATGAGGCTTGGCCAGCGCCCTTGGGTTTCGCTTGCATTCCAATATTGCACAAGGCAATGCAATAATCCAGCACAAAGAATATATAGTAAAGTGTAGGGTAATGTAGCATAGTAGAGTATAGTGCAGCCTAGTATCGTGTAGTATAGTACAATATGGTGTAGTATGGTGTAGTGTAGTAGAGTATAGTATAGTATAGTATAGTACAGTATAGTACAGATAGTGTAGTATAGTCTAGTATAGTATAGTATAGTGTAGTATAGTGTACAGTACAGTACAGTACAGTACAGTATAGTATAGTATAGTATAGCATAATGGTTTAACCGTAATACTAGTATACTCGCATAATATTAAAATGGTATAACAGTATACAGTATAGCTGCACAAGACGGTAGTAGTATAACAGTTTAGTAGTGGTACAAAGGCACAACAGTAGAATTCTGTAGCATCGCATAGTATAACATAGTATTTTGGAGTAGAGTTGTGTAGTGTAGTCTAGTGTAGAGTATAACAGAGTATAATATGACACAGTATACCAGATTATATTATTGTGCAAGATTATGTTGCATCAGTGTTCGAGCCGTATGATGGTCTTGAGTTTCTTGGTTCAGTCACATCGATGAGAAGCGCCCCTTTAGTAGGGTTCTGTATATGGATCCTAATATCCTACATGGGGGTTTCCGAAAATAGGGGACCTTAATATAGTACCCTAAATAATAGGATCCCTGTTATAAGGATCCCAAAATAAGGTACCCCTAACTTTCTGAAACTCCCAAATACCCAGGCTTAGTAAGACTTCTCCGTCGGAGGCCGGTCTGGAAGCTCTTTTACCAGTCCATCAAGATCCACTGCGTGGTCTTCGTGGTGGATGCCAACGACAGCGAGCAGAGGTGCGCCCACACGCACACAAAAAAAACAAAACAAAAAAAAGACTTCATGTAAGACTCATCAGACTTCCCCCGCCTCTATAAGAAGTATATTACAAGCTATGAAATCTATAGCACAACCCTGGGCAAGGATCTCATTGTTTTCAGCAACCTCACTCCCTCGAAGGATCAACATGGCGAAGAGGCACTTGCACGTCTTGATGAACGAGGACGCCCGGGGGGTACCGGGAAACCTCAGCGAACAAAGATTCAAACCAAGCTGTCGGAGAATTGCAAACAGTTTAGGGTTTTGGGTTGCGATGTCTAGCTGCAGCAACCAGTACATGTCTCAGTGGTTGTTTCTGGTCTTGGGACAGATCTCGCCGTAGTCTGAGCTTGTCTTGAGCCTGCGCAGCTGTGGTGCCTAGTTAGGTATGTGAGCTTCGTCGCCACTGGCGATGTTTTTCGTCGTCTAATACTCCTGTCAGAATGCCTGATCATCGTGACGGCAGCAGAAGCAGCAACGAAGAAGTCGGCGGCTGAAGCAGAAAGACCAGGAAGGGGAGGAGGAGCAGTAGGGGAACAGGACCGCCACCAACAGCATTCGGGATACGGTGAATTACTTTCGAAGGTGAAGGCCTGTGAATGTGTAACCCCGTCGAAGCAGGCCGAGCTGCGCAATGCCTGCTTCTGTGCCAGCGCCTGACGAAGAGGTGTCCGTAAACCCTCAGCTTCAATCTGTCTCGTTGCGTGACGTCGCACTGTACTCGAGGCGAGGACGATTGTCCATAAATGAAAGCTACGGTATACCGAGGATTGAGGACTTGCGGCCGTCATATCTCGTGGCCTTAACGGCCTGCTTGAGCAACCCCCGCCTCACCCACTTCTGCCCAAAATATAATATGATATAATATAGTATGATAGAATATACTATAATATAATACAATAATTGATATATATATATATATATATACATATAAGGTCATCATCAACCAGAGGGTGGACGCTTCTGGAAACCTTGTGTGAGTCTCGGGCAGCCTTGAAGCGAGCGGGGTTTGCATAGGCGCGGTGGTGGGGTGACCTGCCCAACACAAAACTCAGGGTGGATGGTACTGACCTGGCTTCCTGATGTACTGCTGCAGCTTGCAGGAGCATGTTGAAGACTTGTCGACCGGAACCCCAAACACTTTGCAAGCGCTTTTGCCAACTTGCAGCCGAGGTCTACGATGACAAGGAGGACGTGCTCAAATACAAGCTCCTCGGCAGTCCCGGACGCCGTTTTGTCGCTTAGTTTTATCAAGCCTCAACCATGAACAAATAGAAGCTACCTAGCAGAACATGACAGCTAGAAGCTGCAATGGCACAAACTGCTCGCACTACAGCTCCCGTAGCAGCTCCAAGGCTCGGCCTCCATGATCTCCACCCCTCCGTCGATTGGAGAACCAGGCGCCGACCGGCGAAGGGCTACCGACACTTCAGAGCAAAGGGCTTCCAAAAGGCTTGGGACTAGTGAAGGAGTTTCTTGAATACTTCCGTTGGGCACTAGTCTCAATCATGTCAGGGGAGCGGAGAAGTCCCAGGATGTCCTGTAGAGGGCCGTGTTCTCTTCGCTTGCAGCTAAGGCAGCTAGCTGAAGAGTGAAGGGTGCGTCTCCAATCTTCCAGGCACTTCGTCATCAACATCCTTGAGATCAAGGGCGAGTGCGCTGCTGAAGGGTTGCACGGGATGGACTGCGTGGACAGTAGATTGAATAAAGATGAGCACGGTGGGTGATGGGAAAGAGCCAACTCAAGAAACAGGTATCAATGCGGAAAACCCATAAACCACGGAAAGGTCAGACAAGGACTGGCTGAACGTCATGAGCTTCACCAAGGAGAATGGCTCACTTGGGATTTTCCTGGACTTTGGATTCGGGTGCATGGGATTTTTGGGAAGGCAATGGTAGTGGAGCAATGTATGCTTTAGACGTAGATGAATTCTATTATTCTACATGCGCATTTGCTCCTTCCATTAAGTCCATTGTAAGTACACGCCTACTCATGCATGGGTGCACTCACATGAATTGTATTTCGGTGCATGTTAATGTGCTTGCGCTACGTAAGTGCACAGTTCACCGGTTGGTTTTCACGCATGTGCGTATATGGGTAGTTCTCTAAATTAGGGTCCCTCTTTAGGTCCCCAAAAAGGGACCCTAACTTAGAGAACTACCCATGTAGAACCCTTATAGATCCCTTTAAGGAACCCTAAAGAAGGACCCCCAAAAGGGATTCTAATTTAGAGAACTACCCATAAAAGTCTTTGTACCGGCCCCCCAAAAGTCAGGAAGTCCTCTCTGACAGCAAGGGGTTCGGCCTCAAAGTGTGAGAGGCCGGGGAAGCCCACTGACCACTCTTTGGGAGCTTGATGGAGCTGGGTTATGTCCAAATATTATATATATGCAAATATAAATATAAATATATATATATATATGTATATATATATATATATGTGTGTGTGTGTGTCTGTGTGTGTTTTTATGGACGATGAGTTTGTTGCAGATAGGGTCGATCCTGAAATCTTATTAGGCTTCGGTTTCCATATATGGGTCGGACTAAGCATCCAACGATTTAGGGGTTTATTTGGAGCCACATGGAGTAAGTAAGGGATCAAGTTTTGAATGCAATCTAAAACGCAGAAACTAAGCTTTCAGGGTTTAGGATGGATGTGTTGTTGGAAAGTTCAGTGCTTCGTTTCTGCAAACAGGACTCTGCAAGAGTCAGAGTTCGTAGATCCGTGTCGTTTCACTTTAGTGGCAGGCCTCCCCCACCCTTCACCCAATCCACTTGACTCAAGCAACCTACTAAATACACAAAAGACTAGACAGACAGAACGGTGGGTAAGTGTGTTCTAGATATGTGTATATGTACGTATCTATATATATATATATGTATACACATACATATATGTATATATGCGCATGCACACAATAAGCCTTGCCAGTTGAAGATAGCTGCCAACGCATATAGATCCAGACACTCACTCATCCATTGCTGTTACCCTAACCATGGCTGCTAATCAGTTTTTATTGTTCCGAGTTGAGTGAGGCTCTAGGAAGCCGCAGGCCTGCAAAGAGAGCCAGGCGGCCGAAAAGAGGCTCCTGGATGCCAGGCGAGAAAAGGAAAAGTGCAGGTTTCAAGGTTGAGGGATGGAAGAATGCCACAAAGCTCTAAGAGCCCCAATCATAAATTCCTGAACCGGAAACTTACATAGGTTATAGGGGTTGAAGTTCTAGGCCATCCCGACACTAAAGTCCTGAACATCCCGGAAGGCCTGCATCTCGATGAGCTTCTACATCCTTCCGAGAGAGTGATAGTTAGAACAGGGTTTTGGGGTTCAGTATACTGGAACATGTATATAGGGACTATAAAGGCGATCCTGCAAATGCATTCAAAAGCCCCCCAAAGGACATCGGAGGTCGCCGCTTGTACCGAACCCCAAACTCGAAAGTGTTCATACAGGGTTTAGGGTTTAGGGTTCAGGGCCTAATAAGTTCCCAATACGACTTAGGAGGTTTAGGATGATTATGAGGTATAATGCACATTAAAACCCTATTCTTATTAAGGCCCCTACACTAGCCGAAACCGCTGGCAAGGTCGCACAATGTACGAGATGTATGGGTCAAGAACAGCCCTAGAGCGGCAACTTTTCGGTCCGTCATGTTTCGTTTCCCCCTGATAGTCTCGACCTGTGCATGTGTATGTGTGTCTATTATATATATATATATACATATATATATATAGATATAGATGTGTATATATATGTATATATATGTGCACCCCCAAATCCTTGTTCGAATCTTTCATGGCACGATCGCAGGGTCTTCCACCGCCGCACTGGCTCCACCCAGTTTCTAAACTCGCGTGGGACTTGCGACATGTAGAAAACCAAACCCACCTCAACTTCGCAATGACCAAAATGAAAATCCTGCTTGAAGGTGAATCGGGGGGCTGTCGCCCGAGAAACCTTCAAGCACAAAGACAGCCCCTCCCATAGCCCACCCCCCAACACTAAGGCAACACAACATCAAGCCACAGTGTTATGCCTGCACCTTGCAGCCCGTAGCTTGAATCTGCCATGGTGCGTGCTGCCTCACATCAGTTACTGCGGCGGCCGGAGACGCCACAGGAGGTGACATCGCTTGTCACTTTACGTGTCAGCTTGTGCGAGACACTTCCTTAAACCTCTACCCCCCAAACCTCAAGCTGACATCTAAGGGCTCCTGTTTCTTGTGTTGCTATCCGAGCATCTCTGCGTGGGACGTTGCCACTACAGACGGCTCTAGTCTCGTAGTTCATCAAGACTACAATGAGATTTGAGCATCGATTCTGCCAAGAGTTTCCATTCATCGAGTTTTCTGGTACGGCTCCCCGAACCCTAAGCCTAATCCCCAAACCCGAAAGCCAAGCTGCTAGGATGAGCTGCGGCCACAGTCCTCGCAAGCGTCGTCGCGCCCAGCGCAGCCATTTCGCTCCAGCTCTCCGCACACGGAGCAGCTCGGTCGAGAGTTGTGGGGATATATTATAAATTATGTATTATATATTTTATATTATATAGTATATATTATATAGTATACGCTATTTATTTATTATTTATTATAAGGAGTTTATGCGGGCTTGGAGGGCTTAGGGTTGATGTTCAGGGTTTGAGGACAGCTTCCGGCACAGATTCTTTGCTACATAGTGCTAGTGTCCTTTTGTATGTATGTATGTATGTATGTATGTATGTATGTATGTATGTATGTATGTATGTATATACATGTATATACATGTGTACAAAAAATATTATATACATATATATATATATGTATATATAAATATGGATGTAGATGAGTCTTGGGCAACAGCCAGGTGGCCCTCTTCAAGTATATTATACTATAGGTTCTATATTATACTGTGCTACATATATATATATACATACATATGCATATGTATATATATATATACATATTATATATACAAATATGTTTTTCTCTATTCATGTATTTGTTTGTCTTAAACCCTTTGGCCGAGGTGGCAGGGCCGCATCCTGGAAGAGCTCGCAAAGACTTCGAAGCGCGGGAGAGCTCTGCCGACGCCCCGCTATAAGCGGCCTGGCTCGCTTGCCAGTGTGTCTTAGGCTCTTAGAGTTTTACGTAGGGTTTTAGAGTTTTAGGGGTTCAGGGCCTTAGAGTTTGAGGGCTTTTGATTTTGAGGGCTTAGGGCCTCGGAGTTTCAGGGTTTTAGAGTTTTAGGGTTCAGGGTTTAGGGCTTAGGGGAGGGACGGCGAGGGCTTCGAGATTGGGGTCAAGCTACAAAGGGATTAGGAAGGAATGCTTTTTGCCGATTGTTTGGACCCCGATGCCATGGTGTTCGGCCTGTCTTTTGGTAACTTCATGATATCTATAGTGTGACATTGCAGCTTATGTCTCATGTTTCATCATCTCTAGTTGTACCCCACAAAAATACCGCAGGCATGGCCTATCTTGTTTCGCCGGCTTCGGGGATCTGATGTTGCCATGTCCCGACTTGCTGAACCTGCATTATCGAGTCACGACTTGGGCTTCTTCCCTCTTATCGAATCGTAGGTCTCTGTCTGATGTGACATCTCCTCTCTACTCCTCTCCGCCCTGCCTCACCTTCTCTTTTGCTGTCCGAGCCCTACCGTGCCTACGACCCAACAGCTCAACCTATCAGAAAACTGGTCAAACATTGACCCAAAGCCTTAGCCTAAACCCCTTGAAGCTCTAAGCACTCTTCCATGAAGCTGAAACCAGCCGTTCAGCCGGGTTACGGTATCGCGGTATCGCAAACGCTCAACCATTAAACCCTAAACCCCCGCACTGTGTGCCCCCTCTCAATCCCAAAATATGGCCCATAATATAAGGGCCTTAATAATTAGAATAGGGTTCTGGGGGTTCCATATTCTAATTATAGTACCCAAAACCCTATTCTAATCATCACCCTAAACCCTAAACCCTAAACCCTAAACCCTAAACCCTAAACCCTATTCTAATCATCAAGGCCCCTGCATTAATTCCCGTCGTAACACCGAACCCAAAGTCGCCCAAGGAATACTGGTTTAGGGTTTAGGGTTTAGGGTTTAGGGAGAATAATGGCACCATACCAACCTAGATCGAAACTCCACCAGAAGGTGTTACACCGAAGGATTCCTGCATTGCAGTAGCTCCAAAAAATCAGGATCGTCTTCAACCTCCTCTTAGATTTTCGGGTTCAGGGTTTAGGGCTTTGGGCTTAGATGCTTTAGGGGGTTTAGGACGTTAGGGCTTACCTATAGTCTCCTTTGCAGTTCCTTTTTGGGGATACCTTATGAAATCCCCTTAATATATATTAATTGGTTAAACCAAAAAAAGGAGCTACAATGGAGACAATAGGGGTAGTTTTCCAAATTAGGGTCCCTTTGGGGATCCTTCTTCTCAGGGTGCCGTACTACATTGGGGACCCTAATGGTAAGGTCAAAGTCCCCTTAATATATTTTGATTGGTTATATAAACCCAAAAAGGAACTACAATGGAGACTATATGAAGGGTCAAAGCTCCTCCAGCAAACAGGAAAGAGCCGGAGCTCCTGCCCCTGAACTTGTCTTGCGAGGCCTGGGTTGGAGTTTTAGGGGGGTTTAGGGGGGTTGGGGGGTTAGGGGTTTAGGGTTAAGGGGGTTAGGGGTTTAAAGGGTTGAGGGTTTAGGGTTTAGGGTTAAGGGGGGTAGGGAGTTTTAGGGGGGTGCCAGGGTGTTAGGGCTTGGGGCGGTTAGGGTTAGCAGCTGTCCTTGGGCGCCGGGATTTAGGAGTTGGGATTTGAGGTTGGGTTGGGGCGGCATGGCGTGATTCAGATTCCTAGGCATAGGGGGTCCACTTCATGAGGACTTATAAACATGTGCCAGTTGTTCATTTCAGGGAATGGAGGGGAGATGCTGCATGGGGAGCCCAACGCCAGCTTTAGCCAAGGCCTGCAGTACAGCTCCCTGGCTTGCAGCAAAGTTCGGAAGGTTCTGCTGGGCGGGCTTCACATTCGATCCCCAGGCGAGTTGCGAATTTCGGGCTGTGCAGTAGGCTTCCAGGCTTCAGATTCTAGCTTCCCGCAGTTTTGCTGATTAGCTTTCGCAGAGCGTAGGATCTGCAGTACTTCAACAACTATGTGCACGCTGAAGTCTCTGGTGCACAGTAGGATCCCAGAGCCCCTCTTGTACGACGTGGCCACATAGGCTTGCCAGGCGTTACCAGGCAGGATATCGGGGCTGCTAAAACTGGGTTTACGGGACACGGCGTGATTATTGAATCGTCATGCTTCTGTTTCCCCCACCCAGGACTGTTCCGATGGCAAGTTGCTGCCTGAGGAGGAGTCACCGCAGGCGATCGGACTCAGTCAGTGGGTTGGGCTTTTGGCTACATAGCCTCCGAGTCTCCAGAAGCCGAATTATCCCCTAGCTACGAAGTTCTTCTTATGGCCAGCGTGCTGTTGGTTTCAGATTCTAGGTTTTGGAGATGTTTATAGGCTCCTAGGCTTGCTGTATGCCGCATACTGTTTACGCCTGACCTCGGAGGGTATTGTCAATCTTCATCCCACCACATTCTGTTCGTGACAGTGTTGACTCGGACCCGAACTCATTCAACAACACGAGCTGCACATGACACCGGAGCAGTCCTTCTTTGCCCTGTCGGGAACCTGCCCACATTCGAGTCGGGCGCTTCCCAAAGTGCCCATGGAGTGCCCCTATGGCCACGGTGCCCCAAGAGCGTGCCCACCCCACATATAAGTGTCACAAGATTCTTTTAGTCAGGGACCAGCACTGGTCTTAAGGTACTGCCTCCAACGAGAAGTGCTGCCATTCCCGTATGTGAGGTGGGTGGCATACCGGGTCGACCTTCGCCATCCAGGTGAAGGGGTTTAATTAGGCGCCGCCCACTCCTAGGCCTCAAACTTAGGATTAAAAAGCCAGCATGGCTTGGCAAGCCCGAAGAGAAGGGCAGTGCAAGGCTCCAGGGCCGAGAGAAAGATACAAATCCAAGGCCCTCTTACCTTTCCAGCCCCCTGAAGCTTTAAACCCATGGCAACCACTGGGCAACCACACCAAAATCCTTGTCAGCAGCCGAACTACGAATTTCCTGTTCCCCACAGCCCCAGAGCCAGTGGGATCAACTTCTACAGGAGCTCAAACGGCCGCATCAGAATGATGTGAAGCTGACCCGCTCCACCTCGGAGTTGGCGCAGTGGCTACCCGACATCACAGAGGCTCGTTGCAGCTCGGGGCTTAGGCTCAGGGATCTCAAGGGTTAAGGGTTCGGGAAACCAACCTCTACCAAAGCAAGAGGCCCCAAGGTCCCTGGCAAGGTTTTTAGGAGTTTCTGGAAAGGAGCCTCGGTGCCTTGAGATGTTCGGGCCTGGGCTTAAGACTTCGACCCCTCCGCAGCGAGCGTGGAACCGCCAAGCTCGGAAGGACCACGGCATATTGCTTCGAGATTCGGCTTGCAGAGTGACTGACGGCTGTATCCTGAAAAGCCTGCAGCCTCAAAAGTCCTGATCCGAAGCCGAAGCACCAGGCTTCAAAGCCCGGTTAGAGGTGGCCTTGTCGGTGACTGTGGTGACTGCAACTGCGACGTGAGCAATTGCACGACAACGATCAGCATTGCCTGCAAGCAATAGCAAGTATCTCCATGGTCAGGAACACGTGCTAGAAGGAGAACGCGACTGAGATCACTTGCGCAAGTCGGAACTGCAATCGTTGAATTGGTTTGGGTTGTTGTCGGCGAGCTACCGCTTTGGTGGTTGTTGTAGAGCCGTACAAGGGGGAGGAGGCGCGGCAGAACGAGCCCTGTGGTGGTCGGCAGGTCATCTCTCGGTTGAGGGCGGGCGCGGATGGCTTCTCTTCCACAGAGATGCTCGGAGCAGAAGGGAGGCTTAAGGATGAGAGCACTTGGCGAGGGAAGCAGACGTTTTGGGATCATAGGCTGAACGGTTTCTGCGTGCGAATTTAAGAAGCCGGAGTGTTGGGACTTGCCGAACCAGGAAGGTAATCGTGTAGCAGCATCAGGTGTCGCCGAGAGTGGCAATGATTACCACAATGGCTACATGAGCCGATCCAGATATGTTCGCGATTGGACATGTGCAAACAGAAGCCCAGACACCTATTGCAAATGGCAAGCCCCTGGCGAGCATTCGCCACTGCGCCCGTCGTCATCACCATCATCAAGTTTTTCGGCCCCATATAGGCCCGAAACGCAAGAATCCACAGACCGAGAGGCACGCAAACAAAGAAGCACTGACTGCACCCAAGATTGTGCCGCTGAGGCTCTGAGCAGGTTGAGCTGTGTTTGAGTACACTGCCTAGTCTTGCGTTTTCGGGTTAAGGTCTTCCAATCCTTATAAACCTTGATCTTTCATGTCCTTATATATAAACGGAAGTTGAGGACACTCGCCAGCTTTCCTTAATCTCCCCCCTCACTCAGCCCACGTCCGATTCCTGGGCCAAAAAGGATGGAGCGGATCAACACCGCCTTCCAACGCCACCTGCCTGGCAGTCCGATGACAGCGTGGTTGCTACATCTGACCCGCCCAAATGCAGAGTTTGTTGTCTCAGCATGTGCAGAGGAGGCCATTTCCTGCAGCCTGCAGGGTTGCAGGCATGTTGTGGTTGCGGACGTGTGCACTTCCTGACGTGATGTGCTGTGATCTTGTGCCCGTCTATGCATTTGAGCTTTTGCTTCGGGAGTGCATACTATATACAGAGTCATAACTGTGACTGCGGAATCGAGTTCTGAATGGTGCTGCATAGCTGCTTTTGGCTCCCGACGATTCAGATGATTTCTTGAGGTTTCAAGGATCCGGACAATCCGGAGATCCACAAGGATGAGCTTCCCAAGGCACATGAGAGGGTGACCTCTTGGGATCTGTGTTTCAACCGGGAGCCACCTCAGTACTCAGGATTTCCTTGGGGGTGGGTTCTGCTTCCGCTGTCTGTACTGGCTGAACTTCAGATCGACCCACTCCTTGAAACCTATCGTCTCGAGGGTCCATTGGTGTCGGTCCCTGGAAGTCACGACTCATGTAGGTGTCTTGAGACGCAGTAGCAGAGTTTCGGGCAAATCGGGATACTACAACTACTTTTTCGGGCCCTTGTATCAGATGTCTCATGGGAGACCGATGCAGCCCAGGTGCTGATGCATCTCGGCTACACGCAAATCCATGATGCCCGCGTCCGTGATCTTGCAGACGGAATTACGAGGTGTGATCCCCGAAGTCTTCTTCGAAATTGATGATTGTACGACTATCTTGTTTTCTAGGTGATCAAGGCTGCTTCTCTTGGCATGGAGCTCCGGGTGATCGCTCCAAGAAACTCAGGTTCCGCCCAATGGTCCCCCGAAGAAGTGCACAGTCCTGGCAGGTATCCCATGCTGGAAAAGGCGGAGTTTATCACCTTCATGGAGAAGCTGAAGCTGCAGTTCAGAAAGTCTCGTTCTTGATCGGAGTGATGGCAACGACAGAATCGCATCGCAGGGCGACAGCAGCTCCAAGAGAGGAACCCAAAACCCTGGTAATATCTTCAGGAAACACGTGGAGTACGAGCTGCATGCCTTCAGGGACATCTTCGCGAGGTTTGATGCAGATGGTCCGGCCCCAAGACTCCGCCCTTGGTTCATGCCAGGAATCCAACCAGGATGCTCTCATCCACTAGATACGTAGACTTGGTTTTGGCATAGTCTTGAATGTGGACTCTACCATAACTATAGAGGTCAGTTTGTCACATTTGGGACGCTACACGACTTTGGCTCAAGTCTGAGCAACTTGCTAAGGGAATGGCTGCCTGGATGCGGGTGAGCTGCACGTCTTCCTCTCCTCACTGGGCTTCACTCCGCTGCGGAGTATCATCCGAGAGTCCCTGGACCTCGTGGACCTGGATCTCAGACCTGAAATATTGCTTTAGGGGCCTTAATGATTAGAATAGGGTTTGGGGGCAAATATACTAAAATCGTCATGATTCTAATTATAGTAAGGCCCCTATCATTAGTTCAGGGACTCGCCGGAGTATTCCTGAAACCATGGGGTGCAAAGCCGAGGCTTGGTATCCCTTTTGTGAACTCGGGTGGTTCCAGGGTGGGTTTCCACACGGCGGGGTATTCCGGATGCCACTGCAGGAATGAAGTGGAGCCCTAAACCCTAAACCCTAAACCCTAGTGGAGCAGTCTGTCCCCTTGTTCCACTGGCAACTTGCTGGCCTGAACCTCCACTGTGGTCCCTGAAGTTTCCATAGTGAAACCCCTAAACCCCTAAACCCC